AAAACCTTCAACTCCTATGGGATTTAAGTCATACGTTTTAAGAACTAAGACTAAGTGGAAAACATACAAATTCCTGTATTTGTTAAAGGGACTAACCATTTTATTCCAAAAGAGGGGGGGGGGGGGGGTAGATCTGAAATGATGAAAATAAATATGTCCCAAATAGGATAAAAAAAAATTAATCCGCCCCAGACCAGTGTTCCCTCTCCTATAATTTTGTTTAGCTTGTCAGACATTTTTCAGCAGGGAGGAAAATAAATAATCTGTCCTTCATCATACTGGAAGTAAATATTATTAGACCTGTCCTTCATTGACATGAAAAGAAATAAAAAACATAATGACTTGGGAAAACTTGCCAACCCCCCTCCCACTTCCCTTAAGAAAAAAATGGTGGTCCCCTTTCTTGTTTCGAATCAATTAGGGGGGCCTTTAATCTCCTTTTTAATTAGTATTATTAAGAAAAACAAATTAACACAATGTACATGCTGGAAAAAAATCTTGATGGACATTGACAGCCTGGCACCATACAAATATATGCAAGTCAAGATTATCAAATCTTAATAGCCTTTTCAACACCTGTACAGTAAGTACATGAATATGAAAAAGTCAAATAATTTTTTATGAAGAAATTTTATTTCATAAACAGCTTTTCAAATTAAGATAGACTGTACAAGGAATACTGGGGGGCTGCAATTTTTTCCATAACTTCATGATCTTGTGGATGAAATCAATTCTGAAAATACATGTATGAGAAAATCAGGACATTCATGTAGTAACATACGATTACTAAGAGTAAATTGGTGATTAAAATTTAATTAAACTCAGATCAATGCATGGAAACATGCATTGGATGCATATATAATTAAATGTTTGCAATTCTACTGTTATATATTGTTTGCCAGAATATTGCATGGTAATTTGGTTTATAGCTAATATGGAGCATACCATTTTCCTTACATCATGGATTAACTTGCTGCCTGATCATGAATGATTCCATTGGTATAATTCTTTAGGAATATCTGCAACACATTATATATGCTATTGCTATGAGATTACTAAATGAAATACATTGTAAAGTAAAATCACTTTACATTTGACAAAACAATTCATGATATATTGTAAACTGCAGTGAATTAAAATTCATATAAAGTTAAATGGAAACAAAGCTGTATTTATTTACAAAACTCTTTTGGGAAATTAAAACCTCTGACATTAACAAGAACAAATGATTAGAATATGAAAAAAAATATACTTCCATCTTTACAAAAATGAAAAATAAATATAGGCCTAATCATGCACACAAGCATGGTTTAAAAAATGTGAAATGCTTATAAGTGTACATACCCTGTAGAGAAATGGATACATTTTGTATTTATTTATACTTCAAGCCTGGATCCCTTGACTGCTACAATAATAAAAGTATAATATGTCATATGATTTTAAAAATTATGTAAATTACAGAAATTAATTGACTTAAAAAATTGAAATCATGCTAAAAAAATACATAATTTATTCACCATTAATTTAAAAATTCTAAAAATTTAAACCCATAGATCTAAAGTGGAGGTTCTTTGTTTTCATCATAATGATACAAATAATATTTGTTACATTTCGCATGAATGTATGCCAAAAAGACAACAACATTACATGTTCACAAAATCACTGTCAACACATTGACTGCAGCAATGAAATTTCAAATTTAATTTACTCTAAGTTTGTATTACTTATTAACACCCTTATTACACATGTCGTCTCAAAGAAAATAAGCTTATATACTGTAAAATCACATATTTTCGTGGGGTCAGATTTTCGTGGTTTGAGGACAAAATGTTGGTTTGTGGGGATTTGATTTCGTGGATGAAGAATATTTTAGTGGTTGTGCATATGAAAATATACATATCGTGGTGGACATAAATTCGTGGGTCTCTTCATACCACGAAAACAACGAAAATTAACCCCCCACGAAAATTAGTGATTTCACAGTACTCTATAATATACTCTATATTTAGTACAATTACATTTTTAAATTTTTAGTAAAACAAAGTGATCAACTTTATATATGTGGGCTGTTGGGAGGGGGGGGGGCGACACACACTGCACTGCATTAGTTTTTCACTGACCGTGGTAATACATCTAAATATACACGTACACACTCGCAATCGTTTTTTCTTCGATGTTAACAGAAGCATATCTACATACCTGGGCTGATCGCTGAATGCACTGCAGTGATGGATCTAGGGAGCTGGTGCTGATCGCCTCACTCTTCAATTATTTTCTGTAATAATGTCCTCATATTCTCGTAATAGGGATAAACAATGCCTTGTCTCTTATCTATCCCCAATTCTTTGAAGAATGTCTGATTATTGCATATAAATCCACTGCATATCTCAGCTGATGTCGCCACGTTTTTAGATGTAAACAACATTCCGTGTCATCGAGTGCAAGAGCTTGGCTGAAGCCGAATGCAGCCAAACGGCACATAAGACATCGGATTATTTTAAAAACATGCCATTCTATATAGGAGAAAATCACTAATAATTATTTATTTAGACATGGAAATATTGCTGTTTTTTACAAATTCTTGCAAATATCGGTAAATAGTTATTTTGAGCTCTATTTCCTTATAAGGATCAATCAGGGCGGAGCAACTGTCATGACGTCAAACCTCATTATGACCTCATTACCATATTTTTTCCATGGGTTGCCTTAACCGTACTGCGATGTTTAAACTCAGACAAGGATGTAAAGACAGAGGACATTGATAATGAACATGATTAGTAATGATGAAAATGATACATTGTGAATATGACAGGTCTCAAGTAGGGCCTCTATGTAAAATGTTTTATTTAAGGTAGTCTAGTTCAAAAGCACCAAAATAGAAGGAGAATCGATATTTTTACTGGGGGTGTGAAACACTCATGTATCTTCTTGTAGAAAAAAAATCAAAATCATTACTGTTAAAAAGACGGTCTACATTTTATGCCATATCACATGGCAAATTAATTCTTTTGAACAAAAGTCAAGAGGATAAGGGTAATAATGAATTTCGGGCTACCGTACACATTACTTGTTAAAGCTAAGAAAATATTGAAGAATTAATCTCATTATACCTATGAAGTAACAGGGCTCAAAACTCAAATAAAGCTCTCTATTAGAAAAATCAATTTGTTTACCCTGATCTTTTTGTATTTAATTATAGAAACCAATGCTTGAAGTATCTCGTGAGATATGGGTAAAACATACAGGTACCCCCATCTTAGTTCAATATAGTTCAAGCCTTTTATGTTGACAAAGATATTTATAAATCAGCTAAAAAGTGAAATATTCTAGTGAAGAACAATTTTTATTTAATGACATAAAGGCAAATAACTTGCCACGTTTTCTGTATATAGGTATCAGACATATTTGAGTTGTATGCAATTATAAACGTATACGTTACTATCAATATAACCCCCCTAGGTAAAAATATACTGCATCTGAAAAGTTCGGCATTTGTCCTCGTGCTTGTGTTTTAAATCGATTGAATTTTCTGCTACATACTGTATAAATCTCAACCCTTGCACAAAAATACCCTCAATCATCTCAATACACCCCTCCAAAACTTCTGCAGATGTCGTTTACATTTTTGCTTATGTTATATGTTCCATAATTTTAAAACGGAGAACGGCTAATTCCGGCTTCCGGTTTACCACGAGTAGGCCCCTTCTTTAATCTCAACCATTGTATTAATGGAGATTTCTATTTTCTCTGTAAAACTAGTAAAATGTATTACGTTTTTGCTATTATAAATAATATAAGCAACGCATGTGCACAATAATGTGTCTCTATAAATATGTGCTTCTGTACTTATCTTGTTCGTTATACAGATTTATTAGGTAATGTTTGACTAAAAGGGGAATGAAATGTTTGCAATTTTTGTATTTTTTTGTTAGAATTACGTCCAGGGACTCAGATAATGCTCCTCTAATATGGTTATCCTTACATTTCTAACTAATTGCACTAATTGGTAGAACTTTGTATCACACTTGACTGCTGTGTGACAAATACTTTGGAAGTGGCAATCATATTTAGCTCAAGATACCTCTGTACAACAGGTTTTGTACGTTTTTTTAACCAAACATCATGTTTCTCAATGTAAATTCTTTCACAAGCTTTTCCACTAAGAGGACCTTTTGGTGAGGTACATTTTTCATACCCGGAAGCAAATCTATAAAATGAATGACTCTCCAAATCATGTGGTCTTTCGTGATAATAATCCAGTAAATTTGTTTAGAATACATGTATAGCTGTACAATAATCATTCATTTCCTCTATAAATTTTATTGGTTTCAACATTTTGAATCTCTTTTTTGGAATACATGTATTTATATAAACAACTTTCCTTGTACTATGAATTAAATGTACTTGTCCTTGTACTATTAATTAAATGTAAATTTCCAATAACAATAAAAAAGGATGCATACTTTCTATGGTCAGTATCGGGTAATTCATTATCAGAATCATCAAATTTTAAAGCATCATCATGGCCATCTGTCTTTCGCAGCATTTCTCTGAAAAAGTATCAATACATTACAAAATAATTTAAGTGACATAAATGTAAGTAAAATTGCACTGTCTTTAGGCATTTGAATTCAATGAAATTGTTTAGTCTTATTACTTAGTTTTTGCTGATGCGTCTGGTAATATGCAAACTCCCAGATCATCTATTAATACTTCCATACTTTGGGAGGCTTGACTGGATTCTGTTACGTCATCATACCAAGGGAATCACGTGAGATAGCATTACGTCTGCGTAATAGGGTCAGTGCGTTGCTTCTGCTTGAAGTAGTAGGGCGAATTTTTGTTAGAAGAGCTCATTACCGTTGTGAACGGTGTATCATACGAGAGTTCAATTTTTTCACCTAATTTGTCGTAGACAAATATACATATTTTTGGATGAAGTATCTTTATCTGTCGTAGACAGATTTCATTTGTATATATAACGTGTTATATATATTTTTTCATACACGTGGTGTTATCAACTTATCATGGCATCCGCCATGTTGAAAAAATCAGATCGGGGGAAAAGCACAGATCGTGAGACAGTATCAGTGCCAGTTAAAATTCCCCTGAATAACGTTTCAAGTGAAAATATTTTTGAACGAATACGTTCGGCAACTGTTACAAAAAATTCTGCCAGTGCACAAGAAAAACAGGATACGCCACGTGCTAGTAGTAGTACTGTTACGAATATCACGTCTCCACGAAATGAGGTTAGTGATTTGAATGAGAACATTCTTGTCGAAAAGAGAAATTCTACACAAAACATGGATAACCTGGCTAAGTGTTTTGATATGTTAACAAACACAATAACAGCAGGTTTTCGAGGGCTACGATCAGACATAGTCGAACTGATTTCCGATCAGAACAATCCATGTAACGATTATGAATCGGAAGGATACTCGGATTATGATTCCGAGATTGACAGTAATGTAAATTCACAAGTAACAGATACGAATAAAAGTGTGAACGACTTACTATCGAAAACAAAAATATCGGGTTCAATATCCGGAAAAGCACAAGATTCAGGGAAAAATGAAAACGAATGTGGGTCACAATCGCAATTTTTGAAAGTTGCTGCTGAACAAATAACTTCACAAGATGTTACAACAGACCCAATACACAAAGACTTGGCGAAGCTTGTTGATGATCTTATGTTCAAAATTAAAGTTGACAAAAAGTTAGCAGACCAAGTTAAAGAGTCGGCAGAAAAAATCAAAAGACCAGAAAATTGTGAGAGTTTGGTATGTACAAAAGTTGACGAGTTAATCTGGAATAGATTACTAATTGCAACCAAGTCGTTGGATAGCAGATTTCAACATGGCCAATTATTTTTGGTGAAAAGTGTCACGGTGTTGGTGAACATTTTGGAAAAGATTGTGTCAAACAAAGAACTAGAAAAAGAAGATTTGGTCAAAGAATTGATAAAATCAATCGAAATGCTTAGTTTTTCGAACTATGAACTGAATATGAGGAGAAGAGAATGCTTAAAAGGTGATATAGACAGTGTTAACTACTTATCTCTTTTCTCTTCGGGAGTACCGATAAACCAATATTTGTTTGGCAGAGAACTGGGCAAGAGACTTGTTGAAATCGAAAAGACCAACAAAGCAGTCAACAAAGTCATGACTAGCAAAACTGCAAAGCAAAGAGGAGGTTACCAGGGAAACAGAGGTCGTCGTTATCAACCATATTCCCGACAAGGGTTTCAAGGCAATTGCAGAGGTAGAAATGCGCCTTTTTTAGGCCAGGCTCACAAAAGAGGAGATTACAGCAGGAAGTTCTCAAAAGGAAAAAAGAACTTCAAACAAGAGTAAATACTGATAAGTCTAATGAGGTAAGAACGACTAAAGTCGAATATCAAACAGAGTCAATTGATGTGTTATTACCAGAAAATTTTAGAGCTGGTAGACTGAAACAATTTTCAAAAGAATGGAAAGAAATTACTTCAGATAAATTCATATTGGAATCTGTAGAAGGATGTCGTATTGAAATGATAGATGAAGCTAATTTAAATCAACTTAGGCCATCATATCCCTTGAAGTTCAATGACAAAGAAGTTAAAATTGTTTCTACTGAAGTAGAGAAATTATTGAACAAAAATGTTATTGAGAAATGCAATCATTGTTCAGGTGAAATCATATCAAATATATTCATTAGACAGAAAAAGGACAATTCTTACAGAGTCATATTAAATTTGAAAAAATTTAATAACTTTGTAGAATACAATCATTTTAAAATGGAAAGTTTGCAGTCAGCTGTAAATTTAATGAAACAGGAATGTTTTATGGCTTCTGTTGATTTAAAAGATGCATATTATTCAGTTCCTTTGGCAAAAGAACAAAGAAAGTACATGAGATTTATTTGGAAAGGAGAATTGTTTCAGTACACTTGCCTCGTAATGGGACTAGCATGTAGTCCAAGAAAATTTACTAAGCTTATGAAACCTGTATACTCAGACCTTCGTAAACTAGGTTTTTCTAATGTTCCTTACATAGATGATGTATATTTACAAGGAAGTAGTCAGTATGATTGTTGGAAAAATGTCGAGGCTACAGTAAATAAATTGCAAAACTTGGGATTTATACTGAACATTGATAAATCAGTTTTTATTCCCAAACAAGAAATCGTGTTTTTAGGTTTCATTCTGAATTCAGTGAATATGAATGTGAGATTAACAGAAAATAAAATTAACAACATATACCAGTGTTGTAAGAAAATTTTGAACATGTATGAGGTTGAAATTTTACAGGTTTCACAATTACTTGGGTTTATGGTAGCTAGTTTTCCAGGGGTTGAATATGGTCCTCTGTTTTATCGCACGTTAGAGAATGACAAAATTGATGCATTGAAAAATTCTCGTGGAGATTACAGGGGAAAAATGAAAATTACATGTGAATCAACAAGAGGCCCATGGGCCACATCGCTCACCTGAGAAGCTTTGACCATTCTGTTCTTTACGAGATTTCCCCCTTGTTATACATAATGCATCCCCACCCTACCCCACTGATCATAATTTAGACATTTTGAAATCTACACTACCCCATGATCCTTCCATGGGCACATATGTTTCAGCTTTTTTGGCCCAGTGGTTCCTGAGAAGAAGATTTTCAAAGATTTTTCCTATATATTTCTATGTAAAACTTTCATTCCCTATAATGTCCCCACCCTTCCCCCGGGGGTCATTATTTGAACAATTTAGAATCTACATTATACAAGGATGCTTCCACATAAGTTTCAGCTTTTCTGGCCCAATGGTTCTTGAGAAGAAGATTTTCAAAGACTTTTCCTATATATTTCTATATAAAACTTTGATTCCCCATTGTGGTCCTTCCCCAGGGGTCATTATTTGAACAATTTAGAATCTACATTATACAAGGATGCTTCCACATAAGTTTCAGCTTTTCTGGCCCAATGGTTCTTGAGAAGAAGATTTTCAAAGATTTTTCCTACACATTTCTATGTAAAACTTTGATTCCCCATTGTGGCCCCGCCCTTCCCCCGGGGGTCATGATGTGAACAATTTAGAATCTACACTATACCAGGATGCTTCCACATAAGTTTCAGCTTTTCTGGCCCAGTGGTTCTTGAGAAGAAGATTTTCAAAGATTTTTCTTATATATTTCTATGTAAAACTTTCATTCAATATAATGGCCCCGCCCTTCCCCCGGGGGTCATGATTCATACACTTTAGAATTTACAATACCCAAGAATGCTTCCACATAAGCTTCACTTTTTCTGGCCCAGTGGTTCTTGAGAAGAAGATTTTCAAAGATTTTTCCTATATATTTCTATAAAAAAACTTTGATTCCCTATAATGTCCCCACCCTTCCCCCGGGGGTCATTATTTGAACAATTTAGAATCTACATTATACCAGAATGCTTCCACATAAATTTCAGCTTTTCTGGCCCTGTGGTTCTTGAGAAGAAGATTTTCAAAGATTTTTCCTATATATATTTCTATATAAAACTTTGATTTCCCATTGTGGCCCCGCCCTTCCCCCGGGGGTCATTATTTGAACAATTTAGAATCTACATTATACCAGAATGCTTCCACATAAGTTTCAGCTTTTGTGGCCCTGTGGTTCATGAGAAGAAGATTTTCAAAGATTTTTCCCATATATTTCTATGTGAAACTTTGATTCCCCATTGTGGCCCCACCCTTCCCCCGGGGGTCATAATTTGAACAATTTAGAATCTACACTACCCCAGGATGCTTCCACATAAGTTTCAGCTTTACTGGCCCAGTGGTGCTTGAGAAGAAGATTTTTTAATGTACCAACCCTATTTTTGTCTTTTGTTGATTATCCCCCCTTGCGAGGGGATATGTCCCTTCAGTTTAACAATTTAAATTCCCCTTTACCCAAGGATGCTTTGTACCAAGTTTGGTCAAAATTGGCCCAGTGGTTCTTGAGAAGAAGTCGAAAATGTGAAAAGTTTACAGACGGACGGACAGACAGACAGACAGACGGACGGACGACAGACAAAATGTGATCAGAAAAGCTCACTTGAGCCTTCGGCTCAGGTGAGCTAAAAAAGGATATTGAATGGTGGATAAAAAATGTACATGATTCGGACCGAAAAATCTCGCACGGTGAACCTAGTTTTGTTTTGAGAACTGATGCTTCCAGCATGGGCTGGGGACCTGAATTTAATGGTACAGCCACTGGTGGTAGGTGGAATGAGCATGAATTGCTTTTACATATTGATGAACAAGAATTATTAGCAGTGTTATTTGCACTTAAATCACTCTGTAAAGAAATAATTCAAGCTCATATCCAAATACTATCTGACAATAAAACAACAGTTTGCTATATTAATGCCATGGGAGGTAGCAAATCAAGATCATGCAATAAGATAGCAAGAGAAATTTGGTTGTGGTGCATAGATAGAGAAATTTGGTTGTCAGCAACTCATATCCCTGGTTCAAAAAATACAGTAGCTGACAGATGTTCAAGAATTTTTAATGATCATACAGAATGGATGCTTAATCAAAAAATATTTAATAAAATAAGTGCATTATGGGGACCGTTTGATATAGACATGTTTGCATCTAGACTAAATAAACAATTGCCAAGATATATTGCATGGAAACCTGACCCCCAGGCAGAGTTCATTGATGCTTTTTCAATAAACTTTAAAGAATTTTATTTCTATGCTTTTCCTCCTTTTAGTATCATAAGTCGAGTACTTCAGAAGATTCAAGAGGAAAAAGCGGAGGGGGTAATAGTGGTCCCAGTATGGCCTACGCAAACGTGGTACACAAGTCTCATGGAACTTTTAGTGGATGTTCCCCAGATAATTCGGAAAGCTCCCAATTGGTTGAAGTTGCCTCATTCGGAAAAGACACATTCGTTGAAGATGACACTGATGGCATGTCGAGTGTGTGGATCAAGTTGCAGGAACAAGGAATTTCTCGAGAAGTATTACAGATTATCAAAGAATCATGGAGAGGATCCACTAGAAGTCAGTATGCAGGATTTATTAAGAAATGGACAAGCTTCTGTAGTGAAAGGTGTATTCATTTCTTTCAACCAACTGTGAATGATGTGTTATAATTTTTATTATTATTACATAACAAAAATTTGAGTTACAGTTGTATCAATACTGCCAGATCAGCATTATCTTGTTTTGTGAAAATAGATGAAAATATTCTGTTTAGATGTTGGTAAACATCCTTTGGTATCACGATTTATGAAAGGTATTTTTCAGATTAATCCAACAAAATCTCGTTATACCGAGATTTGGGATGTGAATGTTGTTTTTGAATATATTAGGAGTATGGAGAGTAATGAGTCATTATCACTGAAACAATTGTCACTGAAAACTGTAACTTTAATGGCAATGATTTCCTCTCAAAGAGTGCAGTCTATTCATAATACATGTTTGTCAAACATGATTGTTGATGATTCTAAATATGTTTTTTATTTAGGGAAGATAAAGCAATCTAGACCTAATTGTAAATCATTTTATATGGATTTGAAAAAGTTTCCAAGTGAAGAAAAATTATGTATTTTTCAATGTCTGACAGAGTATTTAAAGCGCACAGAAACTATTAGGAATGAGTGTGACAAAGTGTTTATTAGTTATTTGAAACCACATAAACAAGTGAGCAAAAGCACTATTGCAAGATGGATCAAGACATTTCTGGGATTAGCTGGAATTGACATCAAGAAATTTTCAGCACATAGTACCAGGGCTGCTTCCTCTTCTGCGGCAAGGTTTAGTGGGGTTCCAATCGGGGAGATTCTGAAACAAGCTGGCTGGAGTTCTGAAAAAACTTTTCTTAGGTTTTATAATTTAGATATTGTGAAAAATAACCAGTAAATTTCTTTAATTACCAAAGATGTGTTTCATACAATTGCTTTCACATTGTGAAAAAGGTTTTTATTGCTGAAGTTTTATGTAATAAATGAATTACATTTGGCACTGGTTTTCATATTTAAAGGAAATGTGAATGCTATGAGAGGAAGTTTGATAGGTTCTTGTTTATTTGACTTTAAGTTAACTTGACACATCAAGGCTTTAAAATCTCAAGTGATTCCCTTGGTATGATGACGTAACAGAATTATAAAATTAAACGAGGCTTACCGGTAAGTTGAAGTTTGATTGAGATTCTGTTACGTCATCAGGATACCAAGGGGATTACGTGCCCACCCATTTAGTCCCACCCAGTTTTGGGGCTGTGGGTGTGGTTCTTGATGAGTCAAGTTGTGTATTTAAAGACTGACCCTATTACGCAGACGTAATGCTATCTCACGTAATCCCCTTGGTATCCTGATGACGTAACAGAATCTCAATCAAACTTCAACTTACCGGTAAGTCTCGTTTAATTTTATAATTCTGCATTTAAAAAAAAACTTATATTAATAGCAACAGAAAATTACCTAGTTGTAAACAAACCATCAATTCAAATAATCAAATCAAATAATGACTCTGTATCATATATAACATATATGATACGTACATTTTCATGCTTAATAATATTGCATATTAAACTTACGCCATTTCCATGTGATAAGCATCATTGGCTGCTTTTTTGTGGTCAACATGGATACACTCTCTACATTTTCTCCGGCACGCCTCTGCATAGACATTAAAGTTTTGTTGTTGATTGTTGGGATGTTTAAAGTAGAGAGCAGGTTGTTCACGCGGTCTGGTCCTCCAAGACTGTCAATCATCGCTAGAAACAATGTAATTCTGTACAATGGGTTTGCACAAATGATTTGAACTTTAAAAAATGGTATTTAACGTTAAAGAGAGACGGTTTATTTAAAACATGAATGTTACTCAGTGTGTAAATCTGTGGTATTTCTCAATTTTTGAAACTTTTTGAAATTTACAAACCTGTGCCTAATTTAGTATTTACGACAGAACTTGGCATCCCTGTTGCTTTTTCTTTTCTATGCGTCTTTTCATAGGGCACCATGTTAACTTCTCCACAATCGGGATTCATACATACGACATATAGATAACCACCAAGGCCCCGTCGTCTCTCTCCTATTACATTTTCGGTATAAAGCGGTATAGGTTCCATACGACAGGAGGAACATGCAGATAGGGACTCCAACAAAACACCTAGCTCCATAATGCGCCGTCCTTCCTTCCAGTCACGGGTCACAGGAATGGGAAGATCTCAGAGTTTTATAGTATGTTCCTTTGTGAACTTTCAAGTTTGAATTGATGGTTATTTCTAGTTCCAGATTCAAGTTTATTACATTAAATTGCAATCGATTCTTATTTCAGGTTCAGTTCTAATTTTGAATTACTTTGTGTGTGTGTGTGTGGTTTTTTTTCTGTTACTTTAGTTAAGAAATTGTGTTCTAGAAAATCTTTGAAAGTATATTTAGAGCTTGTAAATATTGTAAAAAATAAAATTATTTACTTAGGCTGAAATATATAATAACTTAAATAATTCAAAATAATTGCAGACTTTGGGGATAAGGAGTTGCAAATTCTACTTGAGCACTTTGATCCTGTTCTCACAGAGGCTGGGGTGAATGTTTCTGAAGCTGAAATTGAATGGACAATGATTAAAAAGGAAGAACACAAGAGGTAAATATATCAACAACAATAAAGTGTTGAGTGCAGCTAATTACTAACCAATAAAATCTTTGAGAAACTTGTTAATTTTTTTTTAAATTGTAGCGATCTTCTTTGAAGTGACTGGGTCCTTATACAGAGAAAATATGAGAACAAGTTTACCAATATCCTTTCAGTTATTGATCTCATTTTCACTCTTTCACCAAGTTCTGCAGAAGCAGAAAGAGGGTTTTCCCAATTGAAATGCCTCAAAACAAATTTAAGATCTAGACTCAACCAAAACACACTTAATCATGCTCTCATCTTGGACTATGACCCAATGCCAGCAATAAATCATTGGAACAGCAGTTCAATGAGGCAAATGCGCCCTCAATTTGAAAGGAAGAACACAGAGACTGAGAACTGTGATGGTAAAGGCGCCCTCAATTTGAAAGGAAGAACACTGTGATGGTGTCACAGCTGTAAATCATGTTGAGGAGGATAATGCCATGCACGTAGTAGAAGGAGAAGACCAGCATGAAGCAGATAAAGAAGAATACAGAGATGCAGATGAAGAAAATGATTCAGAAGATGATCTAAGTGATGACATTTTTTGAAAATTTGAGAGAAATTGAAATGGAATATGAATATTTAAATTAAATTTGAATGATTAAAACCTTCTAAAGACAAAAATAAACTGTGTTTTGTACTTTTATTTTTTTTAAAAAGTGTGGGCGACCAAATTTGGATGTGGGCCCCTGGAGTGGCAAAGTCCAGTAGCCCACATGGCTAGCAAGAGTTTAAAGTTAGTTTAAAACCCTGGCTTACATTTAGAAAATTTCCGAATAACACTAACAAATCTAGGGCGAAGAACTCATTCACATTTCATCAAACTAAAATCCGAATTCAGTGTAAAATACATATATTAATGTGTTAAGATCCACAAATAAAATTGTTTATATTTGGATTAATAAATCAATTCAAGACTTTTGGAAATGTTCAACAAAATTCTAGTAAAAACCTTTACAGGTCCAAACAAATTTTGAAAAAAATAAAGGTTAAATATTTGATATTTTCCCTATTTAACAAGGAGCGGCGATAGCGTAATGGATAGGGCGTTCGCCTTCCAAACCTTGGGTCATGGGTTTGCGCCCCCGCTGTGTCGGTTTTTGTTTTTTATGCCCCCGTAAACGAAGTTTCGGGGGTATATAGTTTTTGTCGTGTCTGTCTGTCTGTCTGTCTCTCTGTTTGTCTGTTTGTCCGCAAAAACTTTAACCTTGCCTATAACTTTTGATTGAGTGGAGCTATGACTTTCATCTTTCATATGTGTATTCCTTGTGACAAGACCTTTCTTTGGGTACCACCAAATTTGACCTTTTGACCTTGACCTTGGAGTTTGACTTACTTTTACATGAAAATTTCAAAATTTTACTTTGGACATATCTTTTGAATAGTAGACACCAGGACATTTATATTTCACATATGTAATGTTTGTTAAAAGACCTTTCACTGGACACCAACCACCTTGACCCTTTGACCTTGACCTTGTAGATTTCCGTATTTGTGAAAAAACTTTAACCTTGGCCATAACTTTTGAACAGTAAAGGATAGGGCTTTCATACTTCATATATGTAATCCTTGTAGAAAAACCTTTTATTGGATATGAAGATCCTTGACCTTTTGACCTTGACCTTTGAGATTGACCTACTTAAAAAAAAACAAACCTTGACCATAACTTTTAAAGACTAAAGGCTAATGCTTTCATACTTAACATATTTGATCCTTATGACAAGAACTTTCATTTGATAACAATAAGTTTGACCCTTTGACCTTGACCTTGGAGTTTGACGTACTTTTTATGAAAAATTTTAAAATTTTACTTTGGCAATATCTTTTGAACAGTTGTCAACAGGACATATATACTTCACATATGTAATGTTTGTTAAAAGACCATTCACTGGACACCAACAACCTTGACCCTTTGACCTTGTAGATTTCCGTATTTGTGAAAAAACTTTAACCTTGGCCATAACTTTTGAACGGTTAGGGATAGGGCTTTCATACTTCATATATGTAATCCTTGTGGGAAGACCTTTCATTGGATATGAAGATCCTTGACCCTTTGACCTTGACTTTTGAGATTGACCTACTTAAAAAAAACAAACCTTGACTATAACTTTTAAAGACTCAGGGCTAGTACTTTCATACTTTACATATTTGATCCTTATGACAAGACCATTCATTTGATAACAATAACTTTGACCTTTGAGTTTGACCTACTTTTCAAGAAATTGAACGTTGACCATAACTTCTGAACGGTTACGGCTAGGACTTTCATGCTCTACATATGTATTTTATGTGGCAAGATCTTTCATTTGATACTAATTACATTGACCTTGACCTTGGAGATTTTTGTACTCATTAAAAAACTTCAACATTAGCTTACTTTCAAATTTCACAATTGTTTTCCAGTGAGAATTCCCTACTTTTTGTACGAATTAGTTAAGTTTGCATTTCAGAAAAGCTTAATCTTTGCTATGTTGCCATACGGGGGCATCAGTGTTTTACAAACACATCTTGTTTGGATTTTGAATTTCGTTCTTTTTCATTATCTTTACCAAATCAAGATACAAGCGAACTCTACATTTATAATAATGATTACAAATCTTTAAAAAAATAATTTTTCACCCATATAAACAATATAATCGACTGCATAATGTGACTTAATGGTGGCTTAGTGGTAGCTTAATGGAGTTTGGACATTAAGCACCAGTAAGTCTAGCTTAATGGTAGCTTAATGGTGACTTAATGGTGGTCTAAAATTTACCATTAAGGACCTGTAAGCCACCATTAAGCTACATTTATGCACCCATTAAGGACTTTAAGTTGGCTTAATGGTAACGTAATGGCGGTGCAAACGTTTCTTAAAGGTGCTTAATGGTGACTTAAAGACAACCATTAAACCACCATTAAGGACCTTTAAGCCACCATTAATATGAATATTTAAATTAAATTTGAATGATTAAAACCTTCTAAAGACAAAAATAAACTGTGTTTTGTACTTTTATTTTTTTTTAAAAAGTGTGGGCGACCAAATTTGAATGTGGGCCCCTGAAGTGGCAAAGTCCAGTAGCCCACATGGCTAGCAAGAGTTTAAAGTTAGTTTAAAACCCTGGCTTACATTTAGAAAATTTCCGAATAACACTAACAGATCTAGAGCGAAGAACTCATTCACATTTCATCAAACTAAAATCCGAATTCAGTGTAAAATACATATATTAATGTGTTAAGATCCACAAATAAAATTGTTTATATTTAGATTAATAAATCAATTCAAGACTTTTGGAAATGTTCAACAAAATTCTAGTAA